CGAAAAGCTAAATGGTTGCTGCGCTATGGGCGGTCCCTCGGTTCCTGAATTTTTCTTCGGGAACTGAAACGCACTTACAAGACTATAAATATTCCAAATAGCCCAAAATTAGTCCATGGCGTATTTGACCAATTTCAAAAATCCGGCACGGCGGCTCTGCTATGCTCCGGCGATGGCATCGCTGACCATGGCGGCGATCCACCTCGGGTTGGCTGTTTTCAGCCAAATTCAGCCAAACTTGCATCGGTTCCTATGAAAAAATACACTTAGGGCCCTCGGTGGGCCGAAAAAATGTAGAAAATCAAAACTCACCGGCGGTGGGGCTCTCCGGTGCGGCGGCTCCTCCGGCTCACATTGCGGTTGGGTGTTTTGCTCCAGTTAACCTGTAGATGAAGAAACGATGATCACAACGGTGAAAAAATCACATCGAACGGGAATCGAGAAGGGCCTCATCGGAGGCGAAAATTGAAACACCTTGCGGCAGCGTAGCTGAGCTTAGGCGGTATTTTTCGGCCAATTAGCCGATTCTTTTACTCCGATTTGGCCATGGGTGAGTTTGAAATCAAATTCTGAGGAAGGGGTAGAATTTTTTCCTCATTTGGCGGTCAGAAATTGCTCCGATACGGTGGCGGGTGGCGGCAGTCGGCTCCCCAGCGGCTAGGCTGTCTTCTCCGGCGAGGGGCTCTGGCGGCTAGGGTTAGAGTTAGGGTGCGGATGGAGTTATTTATACCCATCCACTTTTGATCTGGACCGTCCGACTGCCTACAGACTTGCACTGCCCCCTAAGCTCTCCCGGGTTCACAATGTGTTTCATGTATCTATGCTGCGCAAGTACAATCCGGACCCTTCTCATGTCGTGGCTCATGAACCGCTTTCACTCCGAGAGGACTTGTCTTATGAAGAAGTACCGGTCAGTATCACGGACCGAGAAAGCAGAATACTCCGTAACCGGGAAATATCATTTGTAAAAGTCTTGTGGCAGAACCACACGCCTAGGGAGGCGACTTGGGAGCTGGAATCAGAATTTAGGGCCCAATATCCTCATCTGTTTGATCAAGAGTAATGAGGCAAATTTGGGGACCAAATTTCTTTATGGGGGGGAGAGTTGTAGCACCCGGAAAGGAGGGGGAAAAAAAAAAAGGGCCACGTCAGCAGGCCTGGTCAGCAGTCCCGGCCAACCGGGGCCTGCCACGTGGCAAGACCGCGTCACTCCGAAAAGAGCCACGTTGGCGATCTGCATGGGTGCGATCCGACGGCCCAGATCAATCGCGCGATCGGACAGCCCAGATTCAATCGCACGGATGGCCCATATTCAATCAAAAACGAACGGCCCAGATTAAAACGAAATGGACGGCCGAGATCAAAAGGCAAGGGGTTATAAATAGAACCCCCACACCAGACCACAAACCCTAGCCGCCCGCCGCTCGCCGGAGAAGACGAACCAGAGGCCGACCGTCGCCACCCGCCGCCGCACCGGGGAAATTTCCGACCGCCGATCGAGGTAAATTTCATACCCCCGACTCGTTTTTCCAC